GTTATTCCTATCAAACACATTTTATGAACGAATATTGTCGTAATCAACTCCTTTCGATGTTATTCCATTCTAGATTGATCTATTAGCCAAGAAACAATCAAGTCTGACTTACTCTTCATCTCGATTATTTGATTGAGCAACAACGCGAATTGGCGCACTCTTTACTTCCTTTCTAATTTCACTGACTACATCCTGGGCTAAACTTGCAACGTATCCACTAGTATATTTGACCTCGTTGACAATTAAATGACCAGTTTCACTTCATCCTGGGATTTATGATTATCTCATTAAGTTTCGAAGATCGTAATTCTAATAAGTTCTAGCAAAGAAATCCTATGTAGAATTCACTTCACTACAAATATAATACTTCGGGGTGTTGCATACTGATGCATGCATTAAGCTTCAATTAACTCATTTCATGGATATTCAGTCCGGCGAAAAATGTGCTGTGCTCACTGAAAAAAACTATTGCAGTTAAGGACAAGCATGACAATGATCAATATACCTATTGATTACTGAATATACAGTAGAGTTTTGCATTGATCTTTTGGGGTAGAACAAATTACATTCTCGGTGTATTAGTTCAAATCTAATTCTAATTGCATTCCCCAATCAAACTGTTTGTAATATTATGCCTTTTGCTTACAATTCTTAGTATATTTTGAAAAAGAGAGATTTCTTTATCATTCATATAACATTTCATTATAATTATAAGTATTATGACCATTCGACTGTCACATTTGATTATTGATGCGAGGTTTGGAATAGAAATCATTGGTACCAAAAATGTATTTGTGTCAAAAACGATTCAATGTTAACATTGGATGACTTTAGCATAATTTGATAATGATTACAGTTTGCTTCTGTTAATATAAAGTTAACTAACACACGTTAGCTCAAGATCAAACTTTTTGCACGAATATGAGCTTAAATATGGGATTAGCACTCCGTTCATTGGACTTCCTTTTATTTTACGGGGGTGGATTGGTTTAGGTGCTGAAATCACATGATTAGAACTATTCGTTTGTTTAATAGTGGTTTAATGCCATTCTTTAATTTATTACAATAAGATTATGATGCAAAAATCCATTCAAACGAAGTACGAAGTACGAATCCATCGAGTATTTTTAGATGATCTTTGTAAGACGTGAAAAGTAGCACTAAGCAAGGAATGCACGCCGCGGGTATCATATTGATCGGTTTTTCTCTACCAAACAAAATAGCTTGACCTGGTGTCCAATGATTCTCCTCGAAGAATAATCGGTGCTAAAGTTGAATTTGCATCATTACGTCATCATATCTTCGTCTCTTATAAGTTCTTTCTTACTTCTACTTTCTGATTTTTAACTGGAACAAAGAATGGAGCATACTTGATCGTCGGTGAAATTTATCTTAGGTGCGAGTTCCAAAGCTTTCTCTAAATCTTAAGGGGTTATTTTACAGTCCCGGTAATGCAGTATTCCACGTCGTTGGTTTTAACTCATAGTTTGGAGATTTCGACATCTCGAGAATTCCCCTGTAAGATATATGAAGGAATAATCGATAGTTATTATTATTACCAATCAATTCATTATAACTTATTAACTCATTCCAATTCCTCCTATCTCCTATAGTTACTAGTAATTGAATTCACAGAATATGACGGATATGATTTTTCGACCTTAGGGAATATATGTAGCGTGATAATACGTAAGTGAGAGGTAAGTGCTAACGTCATATTTTTTAAATCACCTGCAGGTAAGTAACTAGGAATTTGATTTCCCACTTGTCTAAAAACAAAGGCTGCTTCATCGTTGGGATACCGAAATTCAATTTCAATCTTTCTTTTTTTAGGAGCGCTGGGTCCTTCCTCATCTGTTTCTCCTGAAATTTCAATTAATTCATCACTTCTTGTTCTTCACATATTTGAACAGGAAGTATAAATTCATTCAATTTTCCCAATTATTTACAATGGACCACTTAAAAATAGCTCATTTAAATTTGAAATTTGGAAATTCAAAAAGTCTACCTGTTGTTAATGTGATATTGGATGATACCACATAGCTCAAAATGGATGTGATAATGGCAAAACATTTAAAATCCATTACGATCATGAGCTGTAAATCAAAAATATACGATGACTAATCAATGCTATGAAATGAGTAGAAGAAATCGTAGGAACGGATTTGGTGAAAAGGGAAGGAGTTTGTGACAGTAGACTGAATTTTGAACGAAAATATTCCTTTTGTAGTAAAAAGATCAAATCAATCGGAGATCAAAAATTTCCAAAAAAAAAATCGGAATCAGTCTTAGTTTTCCATTTTGAATTGAATAGCAATACATTGTAAACCAGAAAGTATCTCATATAGATTATGCAAAAAAGCAAATAATACTGGCATAAACAGTTTTTTCTATAGAAACTGGGAATAACAGAACATTTAGTGTCACTGAAGCACTGGAAACAGAGTATTTTGTGTCACACCAGCATGCATTATAAAATAAAAAGTATTTTATACAGATTATGCAAAAAAGCAAATAATACTGTCAAAATCAGTTTTTCTGTAGAAATTAGGATTAACAGAATATTTCATGCCACTGGAAGCCTTTTGTCGTGGAATGTAATGACTGCCAGACAATTTATTTGCTGAGCTCGAAACTTGGGTAATTAAATCCCAAGCTTATCTATCCAAATGAAGCCCTAACTTAGTACGAAGAAGTTCGTGAGGAAGTCGGTTTGTCTTGTAAATACACAGCAGTAAGGGAACGTAACCTTTATCGAGAAAAGAGATTGATGAATATCCGCCAATGTCCGTAGAAGTGAAGAATAAGCAGAAGAAGAAGGCCCCATGATTTGGAATAGAGCTTATATGTGTTAAGAAATGGGAGTGGTTTACATTAAGCATTCAAGCACCGGAAACACACCAGAAACGGTATAAGGATTATAACAAGATTAGATAGGAAGGTATGTGAAATTAGGTTTCTTTAGATTTGATTAAAGATGTGAATAAAGATAGCACGAGAAATAAATGTAAAGAAAGTAAATATGTTCAAAGTGATTCATAGTATTGTTAGCATTTATTTACAATATGGATGAGAAATTGATTTCATTATTTATTTATTTGCTTGAAGTTTCGTTTTTACGACACTCTCGACCAGAGAAGGTTGAAATTTGGTAGTACGTGGGGTTTGTAATAAGGTGGAGTTTGTTTGTTTGGTATCTCTTGTTCCAAAGGTTTAGGGAAAGAAGTTTGCAAATTTCCCATTGGGACGTTTCAACCTCCTGATGGTTTGGAGTCTTACAACACAAGAGGTTAAATATAGAATAAATTAGTGTGAATCTAGACTTAAAGGCAATAAGCACAATTGACGTTATCAGGATGATTACTCCAATGGGAGATTAATTGGTCCGCGATATAATACTTCATTTAATCTCTTCATTCCCGTTATGTGCGCTGAAGCATCATAAACAATTCTTAACTTAGTGGTAGTCTGGATTACGAACATCATGATGGTAATAAATGATTCCATCTTGATTCATTTGTGATTGTATTTCTTCGATTATGCCAGAACGTAGTTGATCTTGCACTATTTTATCATATTCTTGTAATTCCTCTTTATGCGACTGAAATCGTGCTACTAGCATTCGTAAACGGTTAACGCATAATCCGTAATTATGGGTCAGTTTGTCTTTGCATGGTTTCCATGGCCAACGTATTTCATATCTTCCATTTTGTCTAGCGACACTCTTTTTAAATTGTTCCAGTACTTTTTCATCATCTTGTGTATCAGATCGGTCTTGGATGTCAATGCAGTTCAACTTCCAAAATTGGTCTATATCTGGAGCGATTTCCTTGAAATATCTTCGTTGCAAAGGTATGGCGGTGGCATAATCCGTTAGTATAACCGCTTCCTGCTATGATGGGACCAACTTTGCTGTTCAGTAGAGTGAATCCTGTCTTTAGTTGCTGAGCGTTTTTCATATGAATGAAGTCGAAAAAATAGTCAGCTCCTATAATTATGTCAGGTTGTTTTCTATAACTTCTAAGGTTGCAAATTTCATTTTTTGTCTGCTACTCCAACCACTTGGAGATCCTTTGTTAGATAATCCATAGCAATGGCTTGGATAGTCATTTGATTAGAGTCTTCTGTTTTTACTCCAATTTGTGTTTGAGTTATGCGGCATACCCTGGGATTCCTGCTGCCAAAGGAGGAGATTGTGTATTCTTCTTCATCAGTTTCTATAAGACTCAGTCGATGTGCTAATTTTTGTGAAATAAAGGTTGGATCAGCATCGACGTCAAAGAGTGCTAGGGCTTGTACCTGTTGTTCAGGCTTGTCAGGATTAAAAACAGTAATTTCTTTACATAAAAACAGTACTCGTTTCTTTTCGATTTTCGTAGTCGAATTAACAGATGTATTTGCATTTTTGACCACAATCTTCCCTTTGTCAATTGCAGAATCTTTAGGCTGATTGAACTCGTGAGTTTTAGTGGTACAAAGGGAGCTGTTATGAGATTTCTTACAATAAAAACAACTTACTCTTTTTCTGCAGTCGAATTCGCTATATCCAAGCTTAAAACAATTAGGGCAAGCATTAATTTCTTTCAATCGATTAATTCGTTGCTCGACTGTAGGATATATGTGACACTTGCTATCCCAGTGATTGTTGTTGCAGAAAGTACAAGGTCTCCTTTTCCTACTTGTCAACTAATTTGGACTCCCTTGATTTGGCTGGTTCTTTTCGGCCGAAACGGTTTCTCTAATTTACTTTAATTGTTTCATTGCAATCAATGCGGAGGTTTCTGGAGTGATTGAATTAGGATGGCGTTTAATCAAATTTTTTCGACTTACGCTATCCGAATATTGCCATTCCATTACTTGGTCATTTCTGATGATTGTTTTCCTGGAAAACTGTCGAAGTTTTATTACGGACCACTGGTCATCTTCTTCCTTTTGTTAATAAACGTGGTTCAGTATCCAATTTGGTAATTTGGATTCTATTGTAGTTTCAATGGTAGGTTACTGTACGTTTTCGCCAATTGCTTCTAACTGCCTTAACACTCTTTCCATTTCTTCGACTGTTGTTTTCCAATTTCGGTCGTTTCGTTTTGTAGATACGAGCTCCTTGTACAGTAAATTTCTTATGGTGGAAACACGACCAAATTTCTCCACCAATAAATAATTTTCAGGGCTTCTTTTTAGACCGGAAACTAAATAATTTAACTT